CAACGATCTAAAATGCTTGAAAATGCTTATTTTAGCAAAACAGCACGTTTTGAGCTTTAATCTGCGTTTTAACGCGTAAAACAGCATAAAAACGACGAAATTTTTATTATTCGTTTTTATTATTTTGCATCTATTTGAACGATTTCAACGATCTAAAATGCTTGAAAATGCTTATTTTAGCAAAACAGCACGTTTTGAGCTTTAATCTGCGTTTTAACGCGTGAAACAGCATAAAACGACGAATTTTATTATTCGTTATTTATTAATATTGCTTCTATTTGAACGATTTCAACGATCTAAAATGCTTGAAAATGCTTATTTTAGCAAAACAGCACGTTTTGAGCTATAATCTGCGTTTTAACGCGTAAAACAGCATAAAAACGACGAAATTTTTATTATTCGTTTTTATTAATATTGCGTCTATTTGAACGATTTCAACGATCTAAAATGCTTGAAAATGCTTATTTTAGCAAAACAGCACGTTTTGAGCTTGAATCTGCGTTTTAACGCGTAAAACAGCATAAAACGACGATTTTTTATTATTCGTTTTTTTTATTAATATTGCTTCTATTTGAACGATTTCAACGATCTAAAATGCTTGAAAATGCTTATTTTAGCAAAACAGCACGTTTTGAGCTTTAATCTGCGTTTTAACGCGTAAAACAGCATAAAACGACGAAATTTTTATTATTCGTTTTTTTATTAATATTGCGTCTATTTGAACGATTTCAACGATCTAAAATGCTTGAAAATGATTATTTTAGCAAAACAGCACGTTTTGAGCTTTAATCTGCGTTTTAACGCGTAAAACAGCATAAAACGACGAATTTTTTATTATTCGCTTTTTATTAATATTGCTTCTATTTGAACGATTTCAACGATCTAAAATGCTTGAAAATGCTTATTTTAGCAAAACAGCACGTTTTGAGCTTTAATCTGCGTTTTAACGCGTAAAACAGCATAAAAACGACAAAATTTTTATTTTTCGTTTTTATTAATATTGCGTCTATTTGAACGATTTCAACGATCTAAAATGCTTGAAAATGATTATTTTAGCAAAACAGCACGTTTTGAGCTTTAATCTGCGTTTTAACGCGTAAAACAGCATAAAACGACGAATTTTTATTATTCGTTTTTTATTAATATTGCTTCTATTTGAACGATTTCAACGATCTAAAATGCTTGAAAATGCTGATTTTAGCAAAACAACTACGATTTTGAAGGCTTTTAATCCTACCGATTTTAACGCAGTAAAACAACATATAAAACAGTAGGGAATTTTATTATTCGTTTTTATTAATATTGCGTCTATTTGAACGATTTCAACGATCTAAAATGCTTGAAAATGCTTATTTTAGCAAAACAGCACGTTTTGAGCTTTAATCTGCGTTTTGACGCGTAAAACAGCATAAAAACGACGATTTTTTTATTATTCGTTTTTTATTAATATTGCTTCTATTTGAACGATTTCAACGATCTAAAATGCTTGAAAATGCTTATTTTAGCAAAACAGCACGTTTTGAGCTTTAATCTGCGTTTTAACGCGTAAAACAGCTGCTCTAAAACGACAGAAATTTTATTATTCGTTTTTATTAATATTGCGTCTATTTGAACGATTTCAACGATCTAAAATGCATGAAAATGCTTATTTTAGCAAAACAGCACGTTTTGAGCTTTAATCTGCGTTTTAACGTAAAACAACAAAACTGACAAATATTTATTATTCGTTTTATTAATATTGCGTCTATTTGAACGATTTCAACGATCTAAAATGCTTGAAAATGCTTATTTTAGCAAAACAGCACGTTTTGAGCTGTAATCTGCGTTTTAACGCGTAAAACAGCATAAAAACGACGAATTTTATTATTCGTTTTTTATTAATATTGCTTCTATTTGAACGATTTCAACGATCTAAAATGCTTGAAAATACTTATTTTAGCAAAACAGCACGTTTTGAGCTTTAATCTGCGTTTTAACGCGTAAAACAGCATAAACACGACGAAATTTTTATTATTTGTTTTATTAATAGTGCGTCTATTTGAACGATTTCAACGATCTAAAATGCTTGAAAATGCTTATTTTAGCAAAACAGCACGTTTTGAGCTTTAATCTGCGTTTTAACGCGTAAAACAGCATAAAAACAGCAATTTTATTATTCGTTTTTTATTAATATTGCGTCTATTTGAACGATTTCAACGATCTAAAATGCTTATTTTAGCAAAACAGCACGTTTTGAGCTTTAATCTGCGTTTTAACGCGTAAATAGCATAAAATGACGAATTTTTTATTATTCGTTTTTTATTAATATTGCTTCTATTTAAACGATTTCAACGATCTAAAATGCTTGAAAATGCTTATTTTAGCAAAACAGCACGTTTTGAGCTTTAATCTACGTTTTAACGCGTAAAACAGCATAAAACGACGAAATTTTATTATTCGTTTTTTATTAATATTGCGTCTATTTGAACGATTTCAACGATCTAAAATGCTTGAAAATGGTTATTTTAGCAAAACAGCACGTTTTGGCGAACAATCTGCGTTTTAACGTGGCAACATAAAACGACGAATTTTACTGTATTCGTTTTTATTAATATTGCTTCTGGCCCCGAACGATTTCAACGATCTAAAATGCTTGAAAATGCTTATTTTAGCAAAACAGCACGTTTTGAGCTTTAATCTGCGTTTTCACGCGTAAAACAGCATAAAACGACAAATTTTTATTATTCGTTTTATCAATATTGCACGTCTATTTGAACGATTTCAACGATCTAAAATGCTTGAAAATGATTATTTTAGCAAAACAGCACGTTTTGAGCTTTAATGCTGCGCTAACGTAAAGAAGAGCAACATAAAAACGACAGAGGTACATTATTCGTTTTTTTTATTAATATTGCGTCTATTTGAACGATTTCAACGATCTAAAATGCTTGAAAATGATTATTTTAGCAAAACAGCACGTTTTGAGCTTTAATCTGCGTTTTAACGCGTAAAACAGCATAAAAACGACAAAATTTTTATTATTCGTTTTTATTAATATTGCGTCTATTTGAACGATTTTAACGATATATAAAATGCCTGAAAATGATTATTTGTAAGCTAAACAACACGTTTTTAGCTTTTAATCTGCGTTTAACGCTTAAAACAACATATAAAACGACAGATTTTTATTATTCGTTTTTTATTAATATTGCTCCTATTTGAACGATTTCAACGATCTAAAATGCTTGAAAATGCTTATTTTAGCAAAACAGCACGTTTTGAGCTTTAATCTGCGTTTTAACGCGTAAAACAGCATAAAACGACAAAATTTTATTATTCGTTTTTTTATTAATGTGCGTCTAGCTGAACGATTTCGCTTAAATTAAAATGCTTGAAAATGCTTATTTTAGCAAAACAGCACGTTTTGAGCTTTAATCTGCGTTTTAACGCGTAAAACAGCATAAAAACGACGAATTTTTTATTATTCGTTTTTTATTAATATTGCTTCTATTTGAACGATTTCAACGATCTAAAATGCTTGAAAATGCTTATTTTAGCAAAACAGCACGTTTTGAGCTTTAATCTGCGTTTTAACGCGTAAAACAGCATAAAACGACAGAATTTTTATTATTCGTTTTATTAATATTGCATCTATTTGAACGATTTCAACGATCTAAAATGCTTGAAAATGCTTATTTTAGCAAAACAGCACGTTTTGAGCTTTAATCTGCGTTTTAACGCGTAATACAGCATAAAAACGACGAATTTTTGATTATTCGTTTTTTATTAATATTGCTTCTATTTGAACGATTTCAACGATCTAAAATGCTTGAAAATGCTTATTTTAGCAACACGTTTTGAGCTTTAATCTGCGTTTTAACGCGTAAAACAGCATAAAAACGACAAAATTTTTATTATTCGTTTTTATTAATATTGCGTCTATTTGAACAATTTCAACGATCTAAAATGCTTGAAAATGCTTATTTTAGCAAAACAGCACGTTTTGTTTTGACATACGTTTTGCTGCGTGAAACAACATAAAACGACGGAATTTTTTTATTATTTGTGTTTTTATTAATATTGCTTCTATTTGAACAATTTTACCAGCGATCTAAAATGCTTAGAAAATGCTTTTTAGCAAAACAGCACGTTTGAGCTTGTCTGCGTTTGACGCGTAAAACGGCGCATAAAACGACGAAATTTTTTATTATTCGTTTTTATTAATATTGCTATTTGAACGATTTCAACGATCTAAAATGCTTGAAAATGATTATTTTTTAGTAAAACAGCACGTTTTGAGCTTTAATCTGCGTTTTAACGCGCGTAAGAGCAGCGCCGAAAACGACAAATTTTATTATTCGTTTTTATTAATGTACGCGTCTATTTAGACACGTTTCAACGATCTAAAATGCTTGAAATGATTATTTTAGCAAAACAGCACGTTTTGAGCTTTAATCTGCGTTTTAACGCGTAAAACAGCATAAAAACGACGAATTTTTATTATTCGTTTTTTATTATTATTGCTTCTATTTGAACGATTTCAGCGATCTAAAATGCTTGAAAATGCTTATTTTAGCAAAACAGCACGTTTTGAGCTTTAATCTGCGTTTTAACGCGTAAAACAGCATAAAAACGACGAAATTTTTATTATTCGTTTTATTAATATTGCGTCTATTTGAACGATTTCAACGATCTAAAATGCTTGAAAATGATTATTTTAGCAAAACAGCACGTTTTGAGCTTTAATCTGCGTTTTAACGCGTAAAACAGCATAAAAACGACGAATTTTTTATTATTCGTTTTATTAATATTGCTTCTATTTGAACGATTTCAACGATCTAAAATGCTTGAAAATGCTTATTTTAGCAAAACAGCGCGTTTTGAGCTTTAATCTGCGTTTTAACGCGTAAAACAGCATAAAAACGACGAAATTGGGGCGCAAGGGCCGTGGGTGCCAACTGCCAACCTCCCCTTCACGTGGTGCGCCCTGATTTCGACAAACGAGGCTCTGGCGACCGAATATGAGGCGGTATAACCTCACTTTCACCACGTCAAGTGCGGGACATCAACAACATCGTCAAACATCCAGGTACACTGAGGCGGGTTTGGACGCTCCAGCTGGCAGCCCCAGCACCAAACTCGGGTGCAGAAGGCTAATAACCTACTCACCCTAAATCAAACCTATTACTGAAACTTCAACTAAGCAAACCCGGACGGATAATACGAGGACGACCCTGGCTAATACTAAACACAAGATACGTTTCGGCTGCTGGAACGTGCAAACGTTATACGAGAGCTCCAAATTGCAGCAGGTAACTAAGGAATTTCTCAAATATAATCTACATATTTTAGGTATATCAGAAGTACGTTGGTTGGGGAAAGGAGAACATCCCACACAAGGTGGAGAACGACTACTTTTTAGTGGTAATGAATCTGGAAAACACGAAAGCGGTGTAGGATTTCTACTCAGTAAACATGCTAAAAAGAGTCTAATCTCATGGACACCAATAAACGAAAGAGTAATAACAGCAAGATTCTACACCAGGTTCAGAAAAGTAACTTTTATCCAATGTTACGCCCCAACCAATAACGCTTCTAAAGAGGATAAAGATGAATTCTATGACATCCTCGAGAAAACTATAAAAGACGTAAACAGCGGTGACATAAAAATTCTCATGGGCGACCTTAATGCGAAAGTAGGCGCTCAAAACGAGAATTTGGAAGAAATTATGGGAAAAAACGGCGTTGGGCAGATTAACGAAAACGGCACATACTTCACACAGTTCTGCTCCAACGCGAACCTGGTAATAGGGGGTACGCTGTTCCCCCACAAACAGATTCACAAGACAACGTGGGTCTCGCCAGACAAAAAAACCCACAACCAAATCGATCATATCACAATCTCTAGGAAATGGAGATCGTCATTACTCGATGTGAGGAACAAGAGAGGTGCTGATGTAGCCAGTGACCACCACCTAATAGTTGGCACATTGAGAATAAAACTAGCAGTACCCAAGCAACCAGCCGATATGAAACGAATAAAACTAAATATAGAGAAGCTACGCATTCCACAAATAGCAAAATCCTTCAAGGAAAAAATGCAAGAGACAATAAACCAAAAATCAGCACAAAAATGGGAAAATATGGCCGACAACATCATTGAAGTCGCCAAAACAACAATTGGAGTGAAAAGCAGGCAAAGGAAAGAATGGATCAGCGAAAACACGTGGTTGCTGATAGAAGACCGAAAGAGGAAAAACACCTGCTACTCCAAAATCTTTCGCAAGAATATAGGGCAGCGGCACAGGTAGAGTACACAGGCCTTTGCCAAAAGGTCAAAAGGGAAGCCAGAAGAGACAAACGCAGGTGGATAGATGATATTTGCAGACAAGCAGAAGAAGCAATGCTCAACAACAACTCGAGAGAACTTTACAACCTCACAAAGAAACTGGCCAATAAGTACTCTACACGCACACACTTCATTAAGTCAAAAAACGGCCGCCTGTTAGTTGAGTCAGACAAGCAGCTCGAAAGATGGAGGAACATTTCTCCGACATGCTCAGCGCAAACGAAACAATTAACTGGGAGCCAGAGAATAACCCAGGTAGACAACTGAACATTGACTCGAACCCGCCTTCAGTCGCGGAGATAACTGCAGCTATAAAGACGCTTAAGAACAACAAAGCAGCAGGAGCTGATAACGTTCCAGCGGAACTACTAAAAGTAAACGCCACATGGATGGCAAATGAACTATACCACTGTATTAAGGAAGCATGGAACAACAACAAGATTCCGACCAAGTGGAAAGAAGGGCTAATCATCAAGCTTCCCAAAAAAGGTAACTTGACCGAGTGTAACAACTGGCGTGGCATAACGCTATTAAACACAATTAATAAGATTATCGCGAAAATCGTCCAAACAAGATTAGCGGAAACTATAGAAAACACCCTGCGCCCGAACCAAGCAGGTTTTCGGCCGAATCGCTCATGCATCGATCATATCAATACCCTTCGTATAATTATCGAGCAATCAGTAGAATGGCGATCACCACTATTCATCGCCTTCATCGACTTTGAGAAAGCATTCGACAGCCTGAACCACGACGCTTTATGGAGGATCCTTAAGTCGCGAGGTGTACCAACAAAGATAATAAGCATCCTGCAAGAACTCTACACTGATGCAAACTGCAGTGTGTTACACAACGGTGAAAAAAGCGAAAGTTTTACGATACACAGAGGAGTAAAACAAGGATGTGTCATATCCCCATTACTATTTAACATCGCCTTAGACTACATACTAGCAAAGGTAGACCAGAACAGGGATGGGTTGCGCTGGACACTAACCTCGCACCTCAGCGACCTGGATTACGCCGACGACATCTGCCTGATGTCACATACGTTCGAAGGCGTGAGCCGACAGCTAACAACATTAGCAAGGGAGGCAAGTAAAATTGGCCTAAGAATAAATATTGCCAAAACAAAAGAAATGCGTATAAATACAAACAACACCTTAAAACTCCAAATAGATAATACGGAAATAGAAGAGGTCAAGGAATTCCTATATCTAGGAAGTATAATTGACATAAAAGGGGGGACCGACGCAGATATAAACAACAGAATAAAGAAAGCCCAGCAATCCTTCAGAATGCTGAGCACAGTATGGAAGTCAAGCGTCTATACACTAAGAACAAAACTGCGCATATTCCGCACAAATGTAAAATCCACCCTTTTATATGGATGCGAAACATGGAGGTCAACGAGCTCAAGCACACACAAACTCCAAACCTTCATAAACAAGTGCTTGAGAATGATCTTGCGCATATTCTGGCCAATGACAATCTCCAACGATGAGTTGCACCGTCGATGTGATGAAACTCCCATTATAAATCAAATACGCAAGAGAAAATGGGGTGGATTGGGCACATCTTGAGAAGAGACGCCGGAGATATCGCCAGAAATGCGCTAGAATGGAACCCACAGGGGAAGAGAAGGGTTGGTAGACCGGCCAATACCTGGCGAAGATCCACAATAGAGGAGCTCCGAAACCAAAATATGGGCTGGAACGAAGCAAAGGCGGTTGCCCGAAACAGAGTCCGTTGGAGGGCGCTTAGTGAGGCTCTATGCTCCACATAGGAGCCAAGAACATTATATATATATATATAAATAATGGTTTTTGTTCAAAGTGAATTCTTCAACATTGCAGGATTAATTGAAAAATTTGAAATAAGTACATATCAATAATTCTTACTAAAACGAAAGTAATTCAATACATACAATAGCTGCATACTATGCAAGTAATCAAAAATCGAATTCCTATATTAGAGAAATATTAAATTTCACAAAATAAAAAAAAAATCATTCAAATTTGGAAATAACTCTTAATAAATAACTTGAAAATCAAATAAATTAATTGACAACAGAGTTGCGGTTATTATAATGATATTATTAAATATAAACTTCTTGAAAACTTTTGTAAACAAGAAAGTAATTTTCATTTTCAATAATTTTACAATTATTACAATTATTTTACTCGAATTTTGAGCAAAACATAACACAATGTCTCTTCAAAAGATCTCATATTTTGTAGTGTATTTTAAACCCAGCGCTACTGGAAAATAACAGGAATCAAATCCGTGTAAACAAACCTGATTTAATTCTGAATTCTTTGCATTCTTAGGTTTTTTTTTTCTTTCAAAAAGAATGTCATTGCCGTTTCATCGATTCAATCAATAATGTTCCACAGAAGGAAGAGTTACATTGGTTTTTATTTTGTTCATTTAATCATATAATATATTAATTTCTCAACATGTTAACATGATATATACTAGCGTTGATTTGCAATGATTTTATATAATCTTTGTTTTTGTCATGTCTATAATTAGTGTTTGTTTCAATTTAAATTCCGTGTTGTGTTTAGAAGTGCTAACATGATGTCTTGAGAGGAAAGGCATTCAGCAGTTCTGCTAATGAAGTTGTTTTTAAATATTGTTAGTTAGGGTAACAACTTATATTACGTTATTTGTGATTAATAAATATATAATAAATCATTTATTTGTAGGTTTGAATGTAAAAATCAATAAGTTTAAATTGCATACTCGTATGAAGCAGTAATTCACAATCACACCTATGTATGATTTAAACTGAGTGTAAATCGTGAATTAAACGATTCTTTTATCTAAATTCATCAATAACCAATTAAAGATGCTTCGTGCTTCTAGCTTTGAAAATTTTGATAAAACAACAAGTTTTATATTGTTTTGTTTATTATAATGTTATAAATTCTTTCATTTTTACGCAAATGATTAATAATGTGTAGAAGTATATAATGACATTAAAATAGGTATTTTAGAAATACTGCCAAATAATTACGGGTACAGTTTGAGGATTCCCACTGTTAAAGAATATTTATAACTATTATAATATTTTTTACACATTATAGTTTTAGGCTTCATGCTTATTGCAAAAACTAAGCGTACACCTAAATCAAGGTTTAATGTAAAAGTGGTGAATTTATAAAGTGTGTAAATTGATATTTTTGTACAAGATTAGAAATTTCTAAAACATAGTTTTCATCTGCATGTATAAATTCAATATTATTCATATAATTACAAGTACTAAAGAAAACTTATTTATTTTTACTTGATTGCATATAGCTCATTTGAATATTCAATTTTTAATTCTTTTGCAACTCTTATTTTTTCATAAAACTTGCATATAATATCAACGACAATCAACGAGGAACAATACCCCTGTCAGATATAGATGAAACTTAAAACGGAACTGCTATTCCTTACCTATGCTAACAGTATATTTATTAGTGCCAATTATTTAAGTTTTGGAGAAGGATAGACTCTTACCGCTTATGATAGACAAACTTCATACCTTATTGGGCGGCAGAGTTTATGATGAAACGCAGTGTAAAAGTTTCGTTTCCCGGACAACTGCCAACAAGACAATCGCTCACACGAATACTGCTCACATGTATTTTATGTATGTCGATTTGTCTATATACCGTTTAAAAAATAATGAAATAGAGAAAGGCCCCAATACAAGAAATATTTATATACATAAAAATAAATTCACCATTATATTTTTCTTAAAACGTGTTAAATCACCAACAACCTAGAAAGCATGACTCCTGGGTGCGGGTGGCCAGGAAGTAGATATTTTAGTCGGTCATTATTGTATAATTTTTATGAAATAAATACGCTTGCCAATAATCAACATCAGTTAGTTTTTGCTGATCTAGAATATTCTGGCAAGCATTGAACAGTTTGCAGTAGTCATATTGCACTTTAAGAGTAAAGAATTTAATAATATCATGAATGTAGGTCTACTCTCTTAAATATAACTGCAAGAATTAATGACATTCCTTTAATCCAATCTATTTCAACTCAATAGAAACCTAAATATCCTGGAATCGTTGCTAAGCCTTAGAAACATATTTTACAGTTGGATAATCATCTCTTCGAAGCCGGAGCGCTATACTGCACTCCGTTCGGGTAAAATGAGCAGAGAACTTGGTGCAGAAACGAACTTAATATACTCGTAGTACTGTCGATTTTAAATTATGGCGCAGATTGAACGTGAACCATCGAATCCGAAGAGTATAGATTTACTTAAAATTACACGCGACTTCTCCTCGGTAGATTTTGATAAAAAGTACATTTTTGCATCAAAAATATCTTACTTGCTATTTCAATGTTAAATATACATCAATATAGGGGAAGTGATTTTTGCGTGTAGACATCACAAAATGATGCGAAATGATAGTATATAAAAAAATACTGTAAAACTGAGTACGAGGTGAAAAGCAAAATAATCTGTATTTATTCGTTGATTTATGTAACATACTATTATATCCAACCGCTTTTTTTTAAATTTTAATGGCTCTATAACACTTCAAGCCAAATATAACAATTCGGACAAGTTACATGTATAGTACGAAAGTCAATTGTATTTAGTACCTGGAATTATTAATTTTTATTTTCATTTTTATTTAAAACTAAAACAAAAAGATTTGCAATGTGGCGGTTTTTTGTTCCTACCTATATTATAGTCGGTGCAAAAAATTCACCTGAACAGAACCGCTACCCTGGTGATATGGCGGTGTATGAGGTTCAGTTCAGGTGACCATAGTATCTATGCTTCTACAAACTTTGGCCACACTTTCAAGAACAAATAATATTAGTGGAACCCACAAAACACGATATAATACAATCAATCAAAAATAAATTTATGACAGCTGCGGAATTTGTTTCGTTTTTATTGTAGTTAGAAAACGTGTGTATTTGAAAAAGAAAGGGGCGGTC